CAGAGTGTTGACTGTTCACAAAAATGTGCTGCTGGATTCTGTTTGCTAATAATTTATCACTTTTCAATTGCTGCTAACAACTGAAATAGGTTTGTAGTTTTATTTTTTTTGGTGCTCTGAAATATAGGAGGAGCAGTAGAAATTTCGAGTCTTTACTAGAAGTCTCCTGAGAACTCATCAGGGCCTAGTGAGCCTTTTGGTTGGATTGAACTATTTCCTCCATTTCTTCTATGGCAGTTTCTCTGAATTAGACTTTATATTTACTGAGGTCAATTTCTGAAAGTTGTACTTTTCTGTTTGTTCGTTTGTGTGTGTGTGTGTGTGTGTGTGTATGTATGTATGCATATTTTTACCATACAATGCACGAGAGAGAGGGAGGAAAGTGAGAAATCACCCCCTGGGGGGAAGGCCATGCCACAATTGCTTCTTCTCCATTTTCCCCTTAGGATTTTGGGTATGTACACACACGCATCCCATGTAATTTGCAAGACATGAGGTCTGGGACTTGAACCACGGTCGGCCATGTGGGAGTCCCAACACCTTAACCACTACACCACTTGCTGGCCCAAATTGTTCTTTTCTTAAAAAAATGTTTACTTCATCTAGGTTTGTAAAGCTTCCTGCATAAATTATGCAAAAAACCTTTTTTTCAAAGAAGTCTCATTCTTTAAATTTCCTGTCTTGGTCGTTATTTCCTCCCACCTTTCTAATTTTGTTTATTTGGGCAATCTTCTTTTATTAGATTAGCTAGTGATTTGTCATATATATACACACACATATATATGTATATATACACACATATACATATATATATAAATACATTGTTTTACCTACACATTGTCTCTCTTCAGTTTATCTTTGGTATTTAGAAAGAACTGTATTATACCTATATGATAGTATCATATTTTTTTTTGGAGAGATTTTCACTATAGGGTGCGTGCGCTCGCCAGACAGACTGAGACATAGAGATAGAAAGCGAGAAATCACCCCCCGGGGGGGATGATCATGCCGCAATCCCTTCTCCTCCATTCTCCTCTTGGGATTTTGGGCACGCACGCACACGCGCCCGGCATGAGTTTTAAGCCACCGGGTCCGGGATGCGAACTGCGGTCGACTACGTGGGAGTCCAGCGACATAGCCATTACGCTAACTGTTGGTTCCCTATATGATAATATCTTTATATAACGTCATTATTCTCTTCTCTTTCACACTTTTTTAAAAAATTTTGCTATAGGGTGTGTGTACATGCAGAGAGAGAGAGAGAGAGAGAGACCGAGAAAGAGAGAGAAAGTGAGAAATTGTCTCCCAGCAAATTAAAGGGTGAAAAAGCTCCATAAATGGGTGTCTCATAAGCTGACCAAAAATTTAAAAAAAAAAAAATCACCATTTTAAATGGTTATCTTATTCTACACAACAACAATGAACCATTTCTTGATCGGATTGTGATGTGCAATGAAAAGTGGATTTTATACAACAACTGGCTATGAACAGCTCAGTGGTTGAACCAAGAAGAAGATCCAAAGCACTTTCCAAAGCCAAAGTCACATAAAAAAAAAGTCATGGTCACTGTTTGGTGGTTCGCTGCCGGTCTGATCCACTGTATCTTTCTGAGTCCTGGAGAACCATTACTTCTGACAAGCATGCTTAGCATATCTATGAGATGCACCAAACACTACACCACCTGAGCCAGCATTGGTCAACAGAAAGGACCCAGTTCTCCACGCAAACGCCTGACTGCACACCACACAACTACTTCAAAAGTTGAACGAATTGGGCTATGGAAGTTTTGCCGCATCCACCATATTCAGCTGACCTCTCACCAACCAACCACTATTTCTTCAAGCATCTCAACAACTTAGAAAACGCTTCCATAACCAGCAGGATACAAAAGAAGCTTTCCAAGAGTTCACCGAATCCCAAAGCATGGATTTTATGCTACAGGAATAAACAAACTTATTTCTCATTGGCAGAAATGTATTGATTGTAATGGTCCCTATTTCGATTAATAAAGATGTGTTTGAGCCTAGTCATAATGACTGAGATTTCTCAGACCCAAAACTGCAACTGTTTGTGCACCAACCTAGTAGTATGTCCTTTCAATATATCATTTCAAGTTGTCTTTTACTTAAATACTGTTTTCTTTTTTTTGTTTTTTAAGCTTTTTTGTCACAGTGTGTGTGCACTTCCCAAGAGAGACAGTAAGAGGCAAAGTGAGAAATCACTCCCCCAGGGAGGATGGCCACAACATAATCCCTTCTCCTCCATTTTCCTCCTAGGATTTTGAGCACGCATGCACATGCATCTGGTGTGATTTTTAAGCTGCCAGGTTTGGGACTTGAACTGGGGTTGGCCATGTGGGTATCCAGTGCCTTAACCATCACACCACTAGCTGGCCCAAGTAATGTTTCCTTGAATTATAGTGTATAACATTTGCTTCATTTCATGGGTTTAGTTTCTTTTTCAGGACTCCTCTTATATATGCATAGGATCTTCTTTTTCTTTCTTCTTTCTCACTTTTTCCTTAGATTCCTTTATCTTCACTAAAAAAAAATCTTCATTTCTGTCTTCCATTTTCCTTATAGCACTATCCATTCTGTTTATTTGCTTTTGTGTTCATTCTTGTTTTGTTTTCACTTGGAAATGATTTCTTTGACTGATACATTTTCTAATATTGTCTATTCTCTTTTCAAATCTTCCATTTTGCCAATTACCTCATTTTTTAGTTTTCCTAACTCTAAATTGCTCTTGCACAATGTACCAGTTTAGTGGGTGTAACCATGTGAGGCTCAGCTGCCCCAGTCACTGGCTGAAGGATCAGTACCCAGAAAGCCCATCAGCTGTCATCGAGATGAATGAGGCTCCTGAGACACCAACCCAGTCTCTCGCAATTAACATTTTTTTTTAAATAAAGAAAAAGGTCTTCAGAGGCCTAGTTCTTATGAGATTGTAGTAAAAGAAAAGTATATTGGATGTAAAATATAGCTGTTTCAAAGTAGAAGGATCTCTCTGGGAGACTAATTCATGTCAGAAACAAAAGCTGAAACTCTAAAAAAAAGTCTAATAATTTTGTTGAAATAAGCATTGTTGAATTTCTAATCAGTTTTCTCTGGCACAGAGAATTTATCAAAATTTTACAAAAATAAATAAGACTTAAGTGTTGTTTATTTAAATCTAGCTTTAAGTACATTCGTCTCTATCATACACTTTTCAATTCCTTTGAACTGTCTATTTTGGCTACTTTGCTCATTTCTATATTGTATGTCCTTTTCTGTTTTTGTGCTGTATTCTCCTTGCTGTTTTTTCTAATTCTGTCATATTTTCTGTGATTATTTTTTCTATCACTTTCCTCTGTTTAGCTTGGTACTAAGGTATCATGCATTTCTGCTTTTTTAATCTTTCATTTATATCCTTTGCTATTTTCCTCCCTGGGTTTCATATTTGAATTTTGTAATCTTCACTCATATAGGCAATTATTCAATATGATTTTTCAATTCACGAAGAAAAGTCTACACTGTCATTTGTTCCACGATGGTACTTTCTGCTGAGTGCTCTTTGGTAAATTCTGCTGCTCTTTCCTATGTATGTGTATATATATATATATGCTTATATATGTATTTTTTTAAAGAATTATTTATTTTATTTATTTATTCATCCATTTATTTTAATTTGAACCAGAGAGAGAGAGACGTAGAGAGAGGGAAACTGAGAAAGCAAGCCACCAGGTCCAGGACTCAAACCGTGGTCGGCCATGTGGGAGTGTCCAGCGTCTTAACCACCGCACCACCTGCTGGTCCCCTCCTATGCTTATATTTTTATATTAGCATTGAACTGGTTCTGTTTTTATTACTCAGGATTTTCCTGGCTGGGCTATTCCTAGAAGGTAGGTAGAGGACTTTTTGCTGACTTTTTCTAAAATTGTTCTCCTTGCCAAACTTCTGTGACAGCTCACCCCGTATGCTTTTGGTGTTGATCCTAGCCACTCTGGCAACTGTACTTTTTTTCTAGAGTATGGAGATCGCATCTGTGCCCTCCTTCCATCGTAAATGGAGCCTGCTGATAGGTTTTCCATGTGTGATACCCAGAAGAGAATGAAGGGGCCACCCTATGTTGTGACTGACCAATTGGAAGTGGAACTAATTCTTTTCATCACTATGCTATATTACCTCTTTGATATTATATGGTAACAAAACGGAGAAATTCTTAGCCATAATCAACAGAATTTTAAAAAGTGCCTTCTCATCACATAAATGTCATATAGATGTATATGGTCAGTTTTAGAGACTTCTGATGATATTTTTATAAATATTTTGTTTCATGATTTTGAGAGAAAACATATTTTAGGTATGTTTCCCATCCATCACCCAAAATACCAAATATTCTTCCTCAGCAGAGGAATAACACACAACTTATTTCATATACCCAGATTTCATGGTTTCTGACAGCACTCTTATATACCCAGGCTTGAGTAAAGACGAAAGAACTGATCAGGTATGTTTCAGCACAGAAGGAGAGAAAACAGGCAAAACAAAATAAAACAGAACAAAAAACTGACCAAGTGATACTAAAAGTAATGGAAAAGCATCTATAATATTCTGAGTGGGTTATTTAATTAATTAATTCTTTTGGAGAGGTTTTTGCTATAGGGCGTGTGTGCTTGCCAGACAGACAGAAAGAAAGAAAGCAAGAAATCACCCCCCAGGGGGGATGGCCACGCTGCAATTCCTTCTCCTCTATTCTCCTCTTGGGATCTTTGGCACACACACACACACGCCCGGCGTGAGTTTCAAGCCACTGGGTCTGGGACGCGAACTGCGGTCGACTACATGGGAGTCAGCAACATAGCCATTATGCTAACTGCTAGTCCCCTGAGTGGGGCTATTTTACATTACCCCTTTAGTTACCAAGTGCCAAGAGAGGTTAGAGCCACTTAGGGGCAAATAATCTAGAAAAGAAGTTAGAAGGAGGGCAACTGTTTGTAGCTTTCCTGTAGGATGACTTACCTTTTCCAAAACTTTCGCAATTCGGGTGCCAATTTGTTCGAGAGACTGTTGTGGATACTGGTCTTTGCCAAGATTTTGCAATACCTGGAACAAAGAGGAAGATGGTGATTAGTGGAATGAAAATGAGGCAGGATCGAGGTGACAATGTGATGCTAAGCTGGGCACTACATAAAAAAAGTTCTCTCTTTCTCTATGAGAAAGAACACGTAAGGCTGTTTTACCATTTCCACAGCCCTCCCTCAACGAACAAAAACCATACATGTAAAAATACATTCGTCATAGTGACGTTAGAAAATAAGAGTAAATAAAATAATAACAGCTATTTGTAACCCTGCCACTTAGACATATAAATATATATAAAGGTATCATTAGTCACTGGTGAGACCTTTATATGTCTTTCAAGTATATATATATATATATATATATACACACACACACACACACACACACACATATATATATATATATATAATTTTTCTCACAAAATACAGGATGACGTAAACTATTACCTATGTTTTCATATAATACATTCTGAATATTCATGTCGATAAATATTATTTTTTAAAAAAGAATTATGTATTTGGTTTTATTATTATTTTTAATTTGCTATAGGGCATGTGTACTCATCAGAGAACGAGAGACAGAGACAGTGAAAAAGTGAGCTTCTAGGTCTGGGACTTAAACTGAGGTCTGCCATGTGGGAATCCAGCACCTTAACCACCATGCCACCTGCTGGATCCTAATATTTTCTATTACATCTTTGCTGATGATGCCCTTGCATACTGTCTTACACCTACACCAAAACTTATCAGCCAGTGCTCTACTGATTAATAAGTATTAGGACCACCTAGAGGGGAAAATGAGAATTAAAATTTTATACTCAGAAAAAGAAAGAAAGAAAGAGAGAGAGAATGAGAGTACGAGAGAAAGAAAGAAAGGAAGGAAGGAAGGAAGGAAGGAAGGAAGGAAGGAAGGGAGGAAGGAAGGAAGAGCATATGCTCAGTTCCAGGGCCTGAAAACTTAAAGCCTGGCCACGTTTGTTTTCTGCTCTCAGTTGCGGCAGGCTGAGCAGCGGACACTCACCTCTGTTAGCTGGCTCTCCCCCGTGTAGTGCAGGCTGGCTCGGTTGGACACCCCATGAAGGTGGTCCAGGGTGTGCATGCTCGTGGGGAGATTGCCGTTGCAAAGCGGCTCCATTGCTGGCTGCTGTATTGGAGTGGCAAAGTCTATGTGTTCTGTGATGCTGAAAAATACAGATTGCCACGTTAGCCACAGAAAACGTGAGCAGGTGTGGAGAGTGGGCACTCGCAGGCCCCAGGTCGTAACTTCCGTATGCTGTCCCCTCTCTGGGGAGGTTGTAAGCCAGGTAAGTTTTGCTCCAGGATTTCCTTCTTCCAGGCACAGACAGTGCTGAACACCCAGAGCTGGTTCTTACCTTTCTCTTTTCTTTTATGCACAGAAGCATACTTGTCCCCACAGAAAACGTTTCTTTAAGATCAGATGGTAAATTTCAAACAGATGTCACTGCTCATTTTATCCGTGTCTAAGGCAGTACTTCCCTTCATGGCCTCAAAGTGGTCATTCTCCCGCCCTACACAGGTTAAACGCCGTGGACTAGTACATATATTGGTACGGCAAATGGGTATCACCAAGTTTTACTTCCAGCAATTTAGACGGTTTGGCATATATCAGGCAAACATTGCCTCACTCGTTTGGTGTTTATTCAGAACCTACTACATCTCGGGTACCAGGGCTACGGTAATTAACAGATGCGGTCTCTACTGCGGTGCTTATCATCCTGTCACTGACCAACGGCAGACAGCGAGAGCTAGGAAGACAGAAACATGGCACAGTGTCAGTGTGCTCTAGTGGGTGACTGGCGAAGGTTCCCTGAGGAAGCCAAGATTTAGGCTGAGACCACAAGGATGAGCATGAATTAGCCAGGATAGAAGCAGTGAGAACAACACTGCGGGCAAGGGCAAAGGAGACCATGTGTGTGACGGCCCTGACGAGAGGGAGGGCAGGGCTGGAGATGGGCAGACAGACAGGGAGCAGACCAGGGGGGCTTGGTGGGCCCCTCTGAAGAGCAGGAAGAAGCCAGTGCAGCGTTTCAGGAATGGGGTGACTCATATCTGAAGAAGAATTCTGAGTACTATGGAGCATGGGCCGAATGGAGATAAGAGTGAACAGAGAATGAGGACCAGACAAGAGGCTACTGTAAGAACCTGCGTGGAGGGACCAGCAGTTAGCATAGTGGCTATGTTGCTGGACTCCCATGCAGTTGACCGCGGTTCGAGTCCAGGACCTGGAGGCTTAAACACGCCAGGTGCATGTGCGTGTGTGCCCAAGATCCCGAGAGGAGAATGGAGGAGAAGGGATTGCAGTGTGGCCATCTCCCCTGGGGGGTGATTTCTCGCTTTCTATCTCTCTGTCTCTCTCTGGCAAGTGCATGCGCCCTATAACAAAAACCTCTCAAAATAAATAAATAAAGAAAGAAAGAACCTGCCTGGAGACACTGGGGCTCTGGCTTAAGAAGGCAATGGATGTGGAGAAAGGAGATGGATTTGAAAGGTACTCAAGCAGTAAAAGTGGCTACGAATTGGTAACAGCCTGGGTTTAGGGAGTAAAGCAGAAGGATTAAGAATGACTCCTGGGTTTCTGGTCCAAGCACCTCTGGAGTTATTAACTAAGAATCGGAAGTGGAAAAAGAAACAAATGATTTTTTGGATGGACAGTAGGCAATAAAATGATTGAGTTTTGTTTTGTTTTTATAAACTTAGGGTGCTTAGAGAGACTTAGGTAGAGAGGCCAGGTATATAATTAGATTAACGGATCGAGAAATCTGAAGAAGGGTCTGGCCTGGAGATTCCAATTTGGGACTTGCCAATACACAAAAGAGACAAATGAAGTTTGGGGTGTAGACCAGTCTGACTAGGAGTGGTTATAAAGTAAGAAAGCTCAGTGATAAATCTTAGGGAACTCCATCACTTAAAGGGTGGAAAGGGGCCTGGAAAAGAGAATGCAGATCCAGCGAGGAAAAGGAAGTCACTTTGCTCAGCTTGGGACTCGGTAGGTTTGTCACCTGGATTTGTTCTGGCTCCCTCCAACTCTATCAGTTGACTTTATAATTCTAAAAAGAGGAGCCCAGATTTTTTAAAAATAATTTTTAAATTTAACTTTATTTATTTTAATTTGACCAGAGGGGGAGAGAGCGTGAAAGAAAGAAAGAGAGAGAGAAAGTGAGAAAGCAAGCCGCCAGGTCCAGGACTTGACCCGCAGTCGGCCATGTGGGAGTCCAGCACCCTTAACTACCACGTCACCTGAGGGTCCCAGAATCCAGATTTCAATTCGAAGCCAGTTCTGTATTACTCTTGGATAGTTTACAAAGTGTGGGAGAGGAATGAAAGTCGGGCATGCGGCTTCACTACCATGGCTGCCCCGTCTTGGGTGGCAGTGACCACCTGCTGCTATTAAACCTCCAGCCCTAGAAGGATGACTCTACCATCCACTGCTGACAAAAAGGGCATCCCAAGCCAGCTGAGGCTCGTGGGCAAAAAAAGCCATGAGAAGGGAGAGGTGTCAGATACTTACTCAATGTTTTTTGAAGAAACTGCAAGCCAGGTACTCACGATGGCGGTCAGCTCCACCCAGCGGAGTTTGAGGCACTCGTCTGGACTGGGCCAGCCCAGACTCTGGTAGTCACGTTTCTTTCCTGGGAGGAAAGGATGTCATGACTCAACACAGTTGCAAAAGAACAGAGCCCGAAGCGCCTTATGCCCTGGTGATCACATCAGCCAGACTGGTGTACCTGGTGGTACAAGTCATTATTTTAACCTTCAGAATTTCTACCCAACTACAGATCTACCTAAAAATTTTGTCATTCATGGAAATACGAATAAAGATCATCTTTGAGTGAAGCTTTATTCTCAAAGACAGATGAAGTGAAAAAAAAATAGTAAGTCCTTCAAATTTTAGATTGATCAACATACAGTATTCTTTGATTGGGGCCAGCAGGTGGCATGGTAGATGAGGTGCTGGACCCCTAAATGGCCAGCTGTGGTTTGAGTCCTGGACCTGGCAGCTTGCTTTCTTACTTTCTCTCTTTCTTGTGAGTGCATGTACCCTATAGCAAATTAATAATAATAATAAAATTGACTAGGTCTTTAAAAATATAAATTCTTTGATGTTAGTATTCTTACCAAACTTGAATTTTTACACCTCTACAATTTGATTTTATAAAAACAACTTAATTACTCGGCAGAAACATATAATGCTAAAGTACATTTTTCAAGCAATCAGTATGGACACTTCAGGCCAGATGGCTCTTTGTTGTAGGGGTCCTGTCCTAAGCACTGGGGAGTGCTTTGCAGAACCACTGGCTTCTACCCACTAGGTGTCAGCAGCACCCTCCTCTAGATGTAACAACTGATAGGCCAGATGTTGCCAGATGTCCCCCCAGGGGACAAAGACATCCCTGCCAGTGAACTCCTGCTATAAAGGAAAACAGCAAGATGGGAAATACCAAAGAAAATGCAGTGCTTTTTTTTTTTTAGGTTTTACCATAAGGTGTGTGCACTGGCAGGAAAGAGGGAAAGACAGAGAGAGGGAAAGTGAAAATCACTCCCACTCCTAGAGGGGGTATAGCCACCGCCAACAGCATTCTCTTCTTCTCCATTCTCCTCCTGGGAATTTGGGCATGCCTGCACGTGTGACTGGTGTGATTTTCAAGCCACAGGTCCATGGCTCGAACTCAGTCATAGCCACTCATTTTAATGCTCTTACTATGTGTTCAGATCCTGTGCTCCAGCAATAACCTTGAGGCAGGTTTTGAGTCTCACTTCACATATGAAAACTAGAGGCTCAGAGAGACTAAGTGACTTGTTCCCAATGCCTGTCAGCAGGCGGCAGAGCTGGGATCCAGACCACGTCTGCTTGACCCTCACATGCACCGTCCCAATCACCACGGCTTAAAGCTAAACAGAGAACTTTCGAAGCTGTTCATTCATATCCTTCACAGGTACTGCTTTGGGGTCCAGGCTCTTTGGTTAGACTATTCTCTAAGAAAAGAGCAAAAATGCTGATAAGCTTGACTGGGAAGAGTTCCCCTTAGAGAACTTTAGCCCTGTATAGCACATTTTATACAGTAGAAATTTTCCAACAATGGAAAACTGTTTGAGGTATAGGTAGGGGATTTAGTTTAAATTCTAATAAAATGGAAAAGGACAGTTGAAAGAGTTTCAAATAAATTTTTTTTTAAGCTTTTTTTGCCACAGGGTGTGTGTGCTTGCCAGAGATGGTGAGACAGAGACAGCAGAGAGAGAGGGAAAGTGAGAAATCATCCCCCAGGGGAGATGATCACATTACAATCCCCTCTCTTCCATTTTCTTCTCTGGATTCTGGGTATGCAACCATGCAGGTTCAGCGTGATTTTCAAGATGCCATGTCTGGGACATGAACCACAGAGTTTGTCATGTGGGATCCAGTATCTTAACCACCATGCCACTTGTTGGCCCTTAAATAAACTTTAAAAATTGATAACATATAAATAAATAATACATTTCACAATAAAACTTACTTTTTATATTTAAGGAATTCACTTGAAAAATATTTATTGAGCACCTATTGTTAGGGATGGACACTATGCAGACGCTAGGGATACAGACAAGAGTAATAAGAGGGTCTGCCTTTGAGCTCACAGCCTAGTGAGGACAGTAAGCACACATACAGAAGTCATTATAATACGATGGAATAAGGCCTGGAGTAAAGGGATAAAACAGCTGTACAGCGGAAAGAACAACTACATCTGCCTGAGGGTACCAAGGAAGAGCAGGCACGTGGATTTGAAGGCTAAGGGCGAGTGGTACTTGAGCACCGCAGAGGTGGCATCCGGGTACAGGGAACATGTGTAAAGGCATGGTGGTATATAAGAGCGAGGGTGGTTCAGAAAGTGGTGAAGGGCTGAGAGGGGCTGGACTGTGAAGGGTCTTGGACACCATGCCAGGTAATCCTGTAGGCAATGGCAGCCTTCGAGCCCCCATCTCTCCATCTTGTTCACAGGGTATCCTAAGAGGCTCTGTTACGTGCCTTGCTGAAATCCGGTTACATTATGTCTATGGAACTTCCCTGGTCTTCCAGCCTAGGAGCCCTAACCAAAAAAGGAAATGGAATTAGTTAAGCACTGTTATTAGTTTTTAGTAAATTATAATGGCTCCTAATGGCCTCTCCTTTACCCCTATGGGCTTCTCAAACTATCTGTTTGAAAATTCGCTTTAGAATATTGTTTGGATTTATTGTGAAGCTTATCAGTTGACAGTGATTTATTTAAAAATGAAGAGACTGAACCTCTCTGGTATTATGCATCGCTTCCATGCTAAACTTTGCTCTGTAATGGCAGTAAGTGGTTGGATCTGACTATATTCAGTGCCCTACTTGGGCCCAGATGCTTAAATCCATTTGAAACTGCTTAGGTGTTCTCATATCATCTCAACCTTGTTGATCTTTAATGTTCACATTTATAAAAATATTTGGAGTTTTACTTGTAAAAATAATATAGGCTTACTATAAAACATTCATAAAATGGAAAAGCCATGCAGAAGAAAATACAAACACCTACGGTTCTGTCAGAACCCAGAGATGACCACTTATACCACTCTGGTGCATTTCATTCCAGATGGGTTTTCTAGGTGCTTATTATTATACCACATTTCATCAGATCTCAGTTGTTATCAGTTATATGGAGCACAGTATTTAACATGATTTAAAAAGGAAAAAACTACCGATTACTGTAGAGATATTATGAGTTATAAGATGTATCTCAGCTTCAGAGATGATATATAAAAATATGTAATTGATGAAATATAGCTTATTTGCTATTTTTTAAAAACTGAAGTGTTCTCTCTATATGTTATTCAATAAATTACTTTTTCCCATTCACTGTATTATGAATATCTTGTTTGCAGTACAAACATGCTGTAATTTAGGCCATTAATGATATTTGAGTTATTTGATAATTTTTACCATAATAAGCAACCTTAAATCAATATCTTTGTAATAATATTTACATCTCTGTCACCTGTAAGATGATTAACTTAGTGAATTACTAAAAATAGAATTGCTGGCATATTTGAAAATTTTCTGATACAGACAAGGTAACCCCCCAAATTATTTATTAACTTACACTGTGTGATGTACTTTAAATTTTTTTTTTTTAATTTTTAAAGGTTTTTGCCTTAGGATGTGTGTTTGTCAGAGATGAGAGACAGAGAGAGACAGTGAGAGGAAAAATGAGAAACTGCCCCCCAGGGGGGATGGCCATGCCAAAATTCCTTCTCTACCTGGGATTTTGGGCACACACACATGTGCCCAGCATGATTTTCAAGTCACCAGGTCTGGGACTCGAACCACGGTTGGCCATGTGGGAGTCTAGTACCTTAACCACTAAGCCACCTGCTGGCCCCTGTATGTTGCATATTTAAAGACAGGTGGATAAGCAAAAATGGTATCTCACTGTTTAAGCCTGTTCTCTTGAGGCTGAACATTTTCTCACATCGGGACCGGCAGATGGCATAATGGTTACGTCACTGGATTCCCAGGTAGTCAATTTTGGTTTGAGTACTGGACCTGGCAGGAGGAGAATGCAGAAGAAGGGATTGCAGAGTGGCCATCCCCCTGGGAAATGATTTCTGTTTCTGTCTCTCTCTCTCTGTCTGTGTCCGGCGAATGCATGCACCCTATAGCAAAAATCTCTCTCAAAACAATTTTTTTTCTCACGTTTACTGGTCACGTAATTCAAGTATCTGTGTGTGCTGACCTGGTGAACTGCCTACGTACTGTGCACATATTTTACTGAAGTACAGGTTGAGCAATTCCTAATCTGAGAATCTAAAATACAAAATACAAAACTTTCTGGCCACATGTGGAAAATTCTACAACTGATCTCACCAGACAGGCCACTGCCAAAACACTGTAATGCGAAAACTCTGTATAAAATCACCCTTAGTCCATGTGCGTAAAGTGTATGTGAAACACAAATGAACCTGGTGTTCAGACCTGGGTGCTTTCCCTAAGGTATTTCATTATGTACATAAGCCGATATTCCAAGACCAAAACAGCTCCATATCTGAAATACTTCTCTCTGGTCCCAAGCATTTTGAATAAGGGATACTCAGTTTATATCGCATTTTTCATAATTTATAGGTGGTCTTTAAAATAGTAGCAATACCCTTTGTTTATCCCACATTCTATAAATATACACAAATACTCTGCAGAATACTTTGTTTCCTCCCTTTGTCTTTTTATTTTGTGGTGCTTTCTAGTGCCAGAATGACTTTTTTTTTTTTCTCTTTCTCTCTTTCTGCCTTAGAAAGTCCTTCTCCATCTTAATAGCATGTGAATATTCATCTACCTTTTTTAATGACAGGTTTTTGCTATAGGGCGCATGCGCTCGCCAGAAAGACAGAGAGACAGAGAGACAGAAAGCGAGAAATCACCCCCCAGGGGGGATGGCCACGCTGCAATCCCTTCTCCCTTCTCCTCTCAGGATCTTGGGCACACACGCACATGCGCCCTGCGTGAGTTTAAGCTCCCGGGTCCGGGACTCAAACCGCGGTAGACTACATGGGGGTAGAGTGACACAGCCATTATGCTAACTGCTGGTCCTGCGAATATTCCTGTAAATCATCCTTTATGACTTACTGCATTTAACGTTTAGCTGCCTCAGACATGCACTTCTCAGTGTTTTACAGTTCGGACACCTTCTCATCGATGCAGGAGACCGACTGAGGAGATGCTGCTCCCTCTAATGTCTTTGTGTGCTTCCTGATGTGGCACGGCTAACCCAAGCTTTATCTCCAGGCATGACAAGTGTCCTTCTTGTTGTCCTTGAAATTTTTTGCAAATCACAGTTCATTTTGGGATTTAGCCATGCTGATCACATTCTTTATATTTTAATATGTGCCCTCCGCGCTCAGCTTTGTTAAGTACTCACAGCGAATTAAATATGACATGCTTTGAGTAAGTGACCTTGAAATTTTAGACAAAGAAAGTAAAAATATCCCTTTTAAAAAGGACATAGCAGGGACCAGCAGGTGGCATGATGGCCAAGGTGCTGCACTCCCACATGGCTGACTAGGTAGTCTTGGATTGGAGACTTACTTTCTCACTCCCTCCTCCTCCCCATCTCTCTCTGGTGAGAGCACATGCCCCATAGCAAATTAAAACATAATAATAATTAATAAAATTAAATAAATAATTCTTAAAAAAAAGAACATTAAAATTTTAAAAAGGAATTCTATCACCACTATTTAATTGCTAAGGAAGGTCAACTGGATGCATGATAATGGCACCTAACCAGAGCCCAGAAATGGCAAATCCCTGGAAGTTCTTCCCCAATTTGGATATACAGGTAGGTGTATTTCCTGAAGAGCAGTTCCAAAACATGTATCCAATACATAGAGATATCTGATGCATACAAACCAGTGCGGGACAGTACGTTTGCTGAGCTCAATGTGCCCCGTGCATCTGAAGCACTGTACATGCATGAAGTCGTATAACCCTCATAAGCACCCTGCAGAGTAAATGTGATTGCTATCCTCTCCCCCTTTTTCTGGTAGAGGTTTTTTATTTTTATTTTTTTGTCTTAGAGCACTTGCGCTCACTAGAGAGAGGAACAGAGACAGTGAGAGGGAAAGTGAGAAATCCCCCCCCAGGGGGACGGCCACACCGCACCGCCATCCCTTCTCCTCCATTCTTCTCCCAGGATCTTCAGCCTTCATGCACACACATGTGGCATGAGTTTCAAGCCACTGGGTCCAGGACTCAAACCATGGCTGGCCACGTGGGAGTCCAGCAACACCATCTGCTGGCCTCACTACCCCCATTTTATAGATACATGAAAATGAGATGCAGGGAGGTAAATGGCAGAACGGGTGTTTGAATCCAGGGAGTCTCCTCAAACCCATACTTTTATATATTACTCTCGACTGTCGTATTAAAAATCAAGGCACCAGCAGGTGGCGTGGTGGTTAAGGCGCTGGAAATTCCCACATGGCTAACATGGTTTAAGTAC